TCCAAACCTGAAACGGGAGCATTAGGCAGCACAGACCCAGCAGGTGGTGCCATATCAAAGCCGCTTGTACGCTTGCTGCAGACAAAGATTTCAGCAAGATTACAATGGAACAATGCAGCTTTCAAGACAAATACTAACAGCATCTATACTATGTTTTAACCACCTAAAGCTTTTGAAATAGAAATAATGTCCGAACAACATTACTAAACACCAAATGCATAACCTAAGTGAGCGAGAGAGATATATTTCTCATCAACTAAAGATACAGTCAGATGTCATGATCAAGAACAATATGAAAGTGAACGTTTATGTAGAAGTTCCCCTTACCTCTTTGAACGAGAACGGGAAGGAGATCTGTCACTTGAGGGAGAACGAGAACGTGATCTATGTCTATGCCTCCTTTCTCTATCTTGATCATAATCACGATGCCTACAAGACAAACATACAATGCAAGCAAACGAAAAGTCAAAATTTTGTTTTTCCACTTACTAAGTCCACAATGCAATTGAAGTTATGAGAACAGCTTGGATATTTTATTTCATTAAAACGCAGTGCAGGAAGACTCAAGCCACAGTATGTATCAGTAATTTATAGAACAAATAAGAAGCACATGCTTAACCTGTCAAAATCTTCGTTTCGACTGCGGCGATAGCCATTGTACGAGTTCCTCCCTCTGTCAAATCTTCCACTTCTATCCTTAAACTCCCGTGTATACCGGCCACCATCTTTTTCTCTATCTTGACCTCGGTCTCGGTCTCGCTCTCGATCTCTCCACGAGCTCTCACGTTCTGATCCACGAGAATTGTGCTGAGGCAATCAAAACATCACTCAGCCATTCGATAATCGTCACATAAACATACTAACAGAAAACCGTTATCCGAAAAAACGTACGCATCATTCTTTCAGGTAATTCATAATAAAATCAAGTAATTCATTTAAAATTTATCGTTTCCTCTAGGGATTCACACTCAAATACGCCCAATTACTTCCTAATTTCATGCCCTAATTGATTTAACAAACAGAAACATCATACTCTGGAAAACAAAAATTACAAAAAAAAAAATTTAATCCGATTCGACAAATTAACCAATCGAATATAAACAAATTGACAAATCAAACGAGAAAGCATAGCTTCAGAAGTTGGATTAACGAATTAACAGAACGGAATTCAGAAAAGAACCTTGCTGCCGCCTTCGTAATCTGACATTGTAGCAGTCCGAATTTCAAATGAGAAGAACCCTAAATATGGAAATTCGCTGGAACCAGAAGCTCGCGATTTGCAGGCCCTTTTGATCTGGTGTATGTGAGCACCATCACGTGTAACTAGGCGCCGTCTCGGCATTGGACGCGATTGCTATTAGGCCCGTTTGGACGGCGCCAATTCAGTAACTTTGAACTAGGCCCACATGTAACAAACCGTGTTTATTCAGATAAAGCCCGCTACATTAAACGGGCCTAACTCGGCCCATGAACTCCCACCCGGTGCCAGATTAACAAAAATGCCCTTTCGGCAAGTCTCAAGTCAGTTTATTAGGAAATAGCAATTGCTGGTTGGGAGTACGATCGTCGCTACAAAGAGACTTGCATCTTGACTATACTTATTTTAAAATATGAAAATTTTAATGAAAAGCTTCTGATATTATTTACTTTAACAAAAGACACATTTTTACGTTAAAAATCAATTATAATACTATTCATTTTACCATTTATGTTGTCCTTATATTTAAAGCTCAAAATGAACCGTACCGAAAATTTTTCATTAAAATTTTCAATAAAATAACAAGAATAATCAACTAATTCTCCAACAAGCATAAAGTAAGAAAAAAGGCAAGAGAGAAGAACAATTGGTCATAAACACCAAGGAAACAACGAAAAACGTCGGGAAACATGCCACCGCTCCCGAAACAGCAGTTGGAGGAGATAGCGGTCGGGAGTGGAGCAAAAGGGCAAGTGAGATTTCTTTTAGTTGCATGTTTACTTATCCATTAGAATAGTGGTGACAGCCACCACCGAATTAAGGTGATGAGTAAATTCGCATTCCAAATAATTCAATTCTTAATTTTATAGGGATCGAACTCTAAAGATTGGAATAGTAAGTCAGATTTCAAATTTTTAATTACAAATTACAGCATGTTTGGAGGTTACTTAAGGAACAACAAAAGTAATTAGTAAACAATTTTAATAAAAACGCATAAAGAAATGTTAAGAAGAATCTCAAAAGTGAGATTTTTCATAGATTCTATGCTACCTCATATTTTTTACACAATGTAGTATAACGTATACATGAAAATTGATGCTAAATTATATGATAATAGAAAATCTATAGAGATTTCACTTTGCATTACACAAACTCGAGATTTTGACTTTTCGTCTATCCAACACCTTCTCAATTTAATTGCTAAATACAGACATATAATCAGTCGTCAGTTCAGGAAAAAAATAATAATAATAATAATAAAACAAATTAACAAACAAACCAAGCTAGATTGGAGGATTGGAGGATCGGAGAATTGGATCCGGAGAAGGTCCTGGTAGTCCCGCTTGACTTGTTACTTGATCTGACGGCGCAGAGGATGTCGTACAAACCACAAAACGTGAGCGCTGACGCACCCACCGCATTATCAACCAAAATAAGAGGCACCACCACATCAAACATCATTTGCGTTGGCTGAGATTAGCGGATCTAAATTAAAGCCCGAAAGATGGCCCACGAAAATCATGGTTTGTTTTTGGATCCTTGTGGGGTAGGTGAGGCACAATGGGCCCCACTACTACATACAGCCAGCCCCTTTCGTTTGATGCTCTTCTTGTTTGGAAAAAAAGTAAATATTAAACTGAGAGGGATGCTTTAATTATGAATCCGACAATCATGTTGATGATCTATATAGCACCAAGGAAAGACAAAGACATCGTTCTAAAAGTGTTTTTAAAATTACTAAAAGCATTTTTAGTGAAAATTTTATGGAATCAATTCATAATAAAAATGTAAGTAATTTTATGAAAGTACTTAAAGTACTTACTGAAAAACACATAACTAGTATTTTTTTTTTGCAATAATGTGATTCTTACATAAAACACTTCAAATGTTATTTAAACTCAAAAACGTTTCAGTTTCAATCATTTTAAAATCACTTTCAAACGAATATTAAGCGGTAAAGATACGAACGTTTATGTAACCAAACAAGCACAGGCATTTCATGCGAGTTTATTCTAGAGTTTTGTACATGATGAGCTTTCCTCATCAACAAACAAAAAAAAAATGGATAAAAATGATAGTGAGCACTAAAATGTTGTGATTTTGTGCGATGTTAATCTCTCATTAAATTATCGAGATGATTACTTCAAACTCGAGAAAAAAAAATTTATTGTGACGAAAATACGGGTAATACATTACGTGTTTTTATAGAAGTGGTGGAAATTTTTATTTTTTAAGTTATTTACTTTTTAACATACATATTTCATTATTTGTATAATAACATGTGATGTACTATTTCGTATATCAGTCACACTGAAAAATATCTCTAAACTCGAGCAAATGTCTATAATGGAGTACATTCTCTCTAATCAGTGTCTTGTCTTTACTTTACATCTGAAAACGAGTGGGAGTTATTTTGCACCTTTTTTTTTTCCATTTGTAAATTACAAATTTTGTACATGATCACCGACGTCGAATGGACCATAATTATATACAGTTCTCCTGATATCAATTTCGGTAACAGTTGGGAGCTTCGTATTAATCCTTAAGCAACAAATAATATCAATGCAAACGTCTAAATCAGTATACTCTCGCCAATCATAACACAAAAGCACAATATTTTTTTATTGAGTATCTCTCGTAACGTCACATGTCATTGATTATAGTTTCCATTAAGAAATGGCTGAAAATATTAGAACATGGACCTTGCAAAGATTCCATAAATGCGGCTAAACATGTAGAATTTGTAGCCATAAAATTTGGAGTGGCTTGCCACATCAATAGAGAATATGCTTGCTTAGATATTCTTCAGTAATACCACATTACAGTGTAATGATGAAATCTAAATATATTAGAAACTATTATTAGATGAATTTTAATTATTTATAATAGAGATATTTATCGATTTGTCTTCCAAACATGTACATAGCTGCCAATTTTCTCTTGAAATTTAATTTTAGTTAATTACTCCATAAACTTTTATAATAATCAATTTCCCCTGAACTTTAACTTTAGTTATTTACATCATGAATTTTTATAAATAGCCAATTTCCTCTGGCTTTAGATTTAAAAAATTTCATCCATCAAATTTGCCTTCATACAGTTATCATGTTGTTCGCGTGAGGAAGATGGATAGATTGGATGAAAACTTTTAAAATCTAATGCCATGGTGGAAATTTACTATTTATAGAAATCCATGTGATAATCAACTAACATTGAAGTTCAAGAAGAAATTACCTAATTATAAAAATTAAAAAAAATAATCAACTAAAATTAAAATTCAAAGAGCATATAAATCCGGAGAACAAATTAACACATATTTTTTATAATATTACCTTGCTCTAGACACCTTCCTCACGCGTACAAATCCACACCTTTGCTCTAGACACATTTTTTCTTTTTCTTTATTAAGTACATTAATATTTTTACATTAAAGAGATGAAGAGTTTGGCTAAGTCATATAATAAGCAAGCTAATTTAGCATCGAATTTGTCATCTACTAGATTCAAACTTAAGACCTTTAACTTCAGAATAAAGAAGAATACCATCGGACCATGGTAACGAGTGACACTTTTTTTCTTTATTTTATTAATTTTTTGTAAGCTAAATTTTCAGTGGCTGATCGCCAAAAAAAGAAAAAAACAGCAAATTCCGTACAAAATATTATCCGCGCGAGTCCGCGTCCGTGTCCTCCGCAACAGCCGCCTTTAAATAGCCCGCCAAGTTCCAACCTCACACATTCACAAACCTCAAGCCCAATGTTCTCAATTTGCTCAGGTTTGATCGGTTGATTGGTTTTCGGTTTTTTATTTTCAGTTTTCGATTCGTGCATGGCATCGCTTCTGCTTTCGCAAGAAGCGTCCGATCTCTGCCTCGGAAAGCCTCCGCTAAAGTCCGTGTCGATCTCCGCCACGGTCGGGGAGGCATTGTCGGCTCTAAGGCGGCTCGGCGAGAGCAGCCTCAGCGTGTGGAGCTGCGACCACTCCTCAGAAAAAAGCAACGTTAGCGTCGTCGGCAGTTCCGACTCCACGGAGGACTGCCGATGCGTAGGAAAGGTTTGCATGGGGGACGTTATATGCTTCTTGGGGAAAGAAGAGAACTTGTCGTCTCCGGCGAAAGCGCTCGAGGCTCCGCTGGAGGTTTTGATTCCGAAAGGATCTGGCCTTGTTAGGCATTTGGAACCACACGCCAGGTTTATAGTTTTTCATATAGATGAATTGCTCTTACTCTTTTTTATTCCTTGCTCATTTGATTCTTTTTGTAATTTTTCAGCTTGGTGGAGGCCATTGATCTCGTTTTAGAAGGTGCACAAAACCTTGTGATTCCGATTCAAAGCCGCTGGACCACAGCGACAAGAAAAAAGCTCCTCCCCAACCGCTCCTTCAACACCCTCCACAACAACCGTGAATACTGCTGGCTCACACAAGAAGACATCATCCGCCACCTCCTCAACTACATAGGGCTCTTCAGCCCCACCTCAAACACCCCCATCAACTCCCTCCATGCCATCGACACCGTAAACATCCTAGCCGTTCATTACGACGACCCTGCCTCGGCCTCATTGCCCCTCATCTCTCAATCCCTCGCCCAGCAAACTTCGGTTGCCATTCTTGACGTGGACGGCAGGGTGATCGGGGAGATCTCCCAATACACCCTCAACACCTGCCAAGAGTCCGTGGCAGCTGCCATTGCCACGCTTTCCGCAGGTGACCTGATGGCGTACATTGACTGCGGTGGTCCGCCAGATGAGCTGGTGCAGTTGGTGAAAGAGAGATTGGAGGAGAAGAAATACGGGGCGTTCTTGGAGCTAATGGAAGAAGAGTCAACAATGTCAATGTCGTCGTCTTCTTCTATCTGTTCAACGTCTTCGGATGAAGAGTTCGGGTGGGGAAGGAGGTCCGGGGGAGGGTATTCGGCACGATTAGTTAGGAGGTGGGAGGCAATTGTGTGCTATCCGTGGAGCTCCTTGGTGGCGGTGATGGTTCAGGCGCTTTCGCACCGCGTGAGTTACGTGTGGGTTGTAGAAGAGGATGCGACTTTGTCCGGCATAGTAACCTTTGCAAGCATGTTCAAAGTTTTTCGGGAACGTTTGAGGTCTATGGGAATAACGGAAGATGAAGTCACACAATTTAGTTTAGCTAGTCTTTGAAGCTAGTCCAGTTCAAGATAACCTACTATAGAAAACAAGGCCTATAGGGACATGAGATCATGATAAGTCACACAACGGATTTATCATAATAATTTAGTATCGAACTTACTACTTACGAGAGTCAAATCTAAAACATTGTATGGTAGGCCAAAAATCCAAGTGTGATGCAATTAATCACACTCCTGAAGTTGTGGTTGTTGTAATTCTTCCAATGTTGTTACCGAGGCGTTGATGGTTTTCTTCACGTGACCCAGATGTTGATCCGACCACCTGATAGTCAATTATAAATTTACCATGCTCCAAACTATTTTACATAAAAAAAAGTAACATCCTCACAATCAACCTATTACATACATAATTTAGTAAATTTAGCGTTCGCCGCCGATTATTATTCATCTCCAATGTGAACTTTTTTTCCATTTTCTCTTGTCATCACTTTTATTTCCTTTTTTTATATGTATACAAATATATCTAAGAAGCACCATCTGCACGGAGAGCCTACAAAGACAAAATTTGGAACAAAAAAATGAAGAAACCGATGCAACAACGCATTGTTTCGGGTTTAGTTAAGAGTAAAGTCGCCTACTGCCAAGCTCCAACATGCACGATGATAAGGCTTCTCTTACTTGGACATTGTTCGAGTCCATATCGAGTGCATCTTCATACAGCCTCTTTGCCTGCTCTAGTAACTTCACCTTCTCTTTACCATTACTGGGACGTAGTCGGGATCGTTGCTGTAGTGCCACACCCCATCGAAATAGAGCTGTAATTTTGCAAGTTTTCAAAATTCAAAATAGAATCAAATATCTTATACACTTTCTTCCAGAAAATTATGAGGATGAGGAGGGGGGAGACCAGAAACATACCATCCGGGGCATAAACATTTCCCTTTGACATCATTGCATCGAACTTATCAATTGCAGCCAAGAACAGTTCGTCGGCATCAAAAGCTGCTTCCTGAAATCCACAGAAGAAAGGGTTTAAAGTGTAATTCAACTGACCATAACGTGGCTTACACAACTGAGCAATGTTAAGAGTTCCTCAACCTTCAATGATAAGCAAAATTTGAAGGAAAAAAAATGCTCAAAGTTTTGTTAAGTTCTTACCGGTCCAATATCTGCAATCAACTGTGCACGGAAGGTAAGAGCAAGACCCCAATTGTATAGTGCTCTCACATCATTCCCGTCAATTGATAACGCCATTCTATACCTTCTGCCTGCTTCCACAAGAAGTTCCTCGCACTCTTCACAAACATTAATGAGGACCGATGCAATGTCATCTTTACTTGTGACTTTATCCTGCATTCTAATCCATTTCTCAACCGATAAGGGGTCACTTCTTGAAAGGTGCATTCTCAACTCGCGACTAATCCTTAATTTTAATTCTCCATGAAGAAGGCAAGTGTTGCCTAACTGGCCCACAGCCAATAAACTCATGGGCTTCATAGCTATGGCTTTGGACAGTAATTTGGCTGACCTGTATAATACGATCTCTGCACGCTCTTCATTGTGTCTGACCCTTATAAATTCCTTGGCTTGTTTTAGAAGATCATTAGCTTCTGTAACATACCTGTCAAATAATATATCATCCAAAACCAACGAAGATGAAAGGGAAGGTAGTTCATTCTCATGTCCAGGCAGGTGATCACCAAGCTGGGAATCGTCATTGCGATTTACCTTCTCTTCTCTACCATGAAACTCATAAGTTCCATTCACATTTTTTCCCCTGATATTAGAAGGCCTGTAAACCCCATTAGATTTATCGTCCATCTGTTTTGTTCTGACACCGAAATCTACAGAATCAAGTAGACTTTCAGGGAATTCCCACGTTTCAGCGTGATAACTAGCATCCATCTTCATAGACACGTGACCATTGCTTTGCAACCCATTATTCTGATAATTAAACACTTTTCTAGCTGTAGATCTGTTAGGACCCCCGTCCGCCTCCTCTGAACTCATCTTATTATTTTCCAAAGCAACTTTGGTTCTTCCATATCCAGCCTCATCAAAACCAGACTTACTATACACTTCTTGAGAATGAACAGAACCGAGAACCACTCCTTTAACAGGAGGCATTGAACCGTTCCCTCGAGATTGATCATCCATCACTTTCTCCGTAGTCTCTCGCTTAACATTGTTTTTCACTCTACCAGACTTCGAATCAGCCAATTTGTCGTTAAATAAACCTCCGATGTACTGGAACAACTCGTATCCAATCTCAGCAGGCTCTTTCTTTCTTTTACTCGCCTTTTTGCTCTCAGCTAACTCAACACTGAACTTCCCCAAGTTCTCAACAGACCCATCAGCAACATTCCTAGCATTCAACACCGACGAACCAATACTTTCAATGACCTTTACATAACTTTCCAAATCAGTAACTGTAATTTCTCTACAATCAATAGCTTTTTGTATATCATACTTCAAATTACCAACTTTAACATGGAATTCGTCGAAAATTTCCACCAATTTCCTCAATTTATCAGATTTAGCAATTAAATTTTCTTCCTTTCCCCTTCTCTTATCTCCAATTAACCTCACTTCACCAACGCCTCCACGAACAAATCCAAACGAAAACCCAATTGCGAAAACTAAAATCGACGCTGGAAACACAACAATAGAAGAAACCCTAACCCTAGAAATGGCGAAAGCACACACAAGGCCTAACAAAAACACGAAAACATGTTTCTTATCGTCGATTCCTATAGAATTCAGAAACTGACGAAACTGATCGGACTCACCAGAGGGACCCGAGCCGCCGGCTAATCTGAAGTCGTCCCACCCGCCGTAACTCGCCGATTCAGAAGCACACTTAGCTCCGACGGAAGAGAATCTAAAGGTTCCGGGATTGCAAGACCATTTTCTGCGAGAAAATTGAAGAAAGTTCTGGCTTCCCTAAAAAGTGACGGAAAATGGAAGATGAAAGCCGATGGCGAAGATTGGGGATTCGAACAATTTATAGTGAATTGCGAAATTAGGGTTTTCATTGGGAATTGTGAGGAGGAGGAGGGACTGTACGGACGGCCGTGCTGCTGTACCGCACGGCAACAATTAAGCTTCTTCAGTTCTCGCAGTCCTCAGCTGAGTGCACAATCATTCGTTGCACTTGAACTATATGGGCAATTTTGTAATTTACGGATAGTGGTGGGTACTTTTGTCATTTCACCAATCTTAGTACGTTTCACCTAATTTCTTGTCCATTTGCAAATTTCATTTGCTTGCGTTGTTTTATTTATACTTCACATTTTGTTAATTATTTGTAAAAATTATTACAAACAAATAACTTTAACTTGTATTTGTTTAAAAATCTGCTTATGCCATATGTAATATTATAATTTCGACTTTAAGCATTCAACACAAAACTGATTGACATGGTATTGGAAAGACTCGAGATTATTCAAGCATTTTCAATGCAAAACTTTCATATTGAATGTGAATGTTCTCTTCATGCCACGTTACGTGGCACATCTCTTATTTTATTAATGATGTATGAGCATGTGTGATTATTGAGACAAACATGTTAACGGTCTCATCGATCCAAGTAGCCTGATACTGTGTGAGAATACAAACCATCCAACCAAAACTATTGAGCCTGAACTGTATAATGGTGTTTCATGCCCTTCATTAGTTCATGATCCGCTAATTTTATGAGAATCGAAGTTTCCTCTAATTAAATAGAGACATATATCACTAATCTAAAGACTGGTGCTATCCACACACTTATTTTAATTTTTCACACACTCTTTATTAATTTTTATCTTTTGATTTTTTTCAATTCATTTGATCCGATAACCGAAAATTGAAAGGGTGTGTGAAAGGTAAAAAAAAGTGCATGATAGACCAATCAGCTAGTGTCTTGAACTTCAGTGGAGGTAAGATTTTTGTCATAAATATTTTGAACATATAAGGATCTTTCAAATTCGAATGCAATAATAGTGTGTTGAGAAATGCTAAGGAGATTCTCTTAAAATAAGAATTTTCATGAAAACTCTGTCACCTCATTTTTTTTCTTCATATTTTATAATGTTGGCATGTGAATTGTTTAAAAACTTAAAAGGACGAAGAGTTCTACATTTAGGGAAGTCCTCGACACTTTATGGGACTACCGCAATGATATCCCAACAAGGCAACAACCATGAGCCATAATGCAAATTAAGACTTCAATTAGCAGCAATAATGCTAATTATGTTATCTGATGATCCACGTGTCACTTTGTTGGAACTTGGGACATGAATAATTGCAAAAAGAATAAGATTTTATATCTAGTATTAAAGTTTTAATAACTATTATCTTCTATTAACAGATTTTTAGAAAAATATTTGGCAGATATTCTTGTAGTAGCATGATCCATTTTATTTTGTATTTTAACGATTAAATAATCTATCATTTTAGGGTATCTCTAAAATCTTGGTCTATGGTTTTTTTGGTTGCCAGAACTAGATGTCTTTATGATTTATGTTATGTCTAACTTTTTCAGATGTTTTATAAAAAAAAATTTAAAGAAAAAAAAGCCGAAGAAGGGGATATGCAAATTTATAGAAATATTTATGGATATATCAATATCTACATCAATATCGGTTGTTTTCAACGAAGTGAAGTTCCAATTGAAGTTCCTCTTTTTAATGTGGTTATCATATTACCAAGTGAAGTTCCTCTTTTTTTAACGTGGTTATCATATTACCAAGTGAAGTTCCAATTCTACCATAATGCGTTTATATGTATCATTAACAATAACAAACTCCAGAGGTGGACCGAATCATTGAATGTCAGGCTTTTGTACTAGAAACAATTATCATGAGTTTCGATTTGCACTAACAAATTAACAATACATGACTATGTGACAATTGCCACATTCTGTAAATTACAAAAATTATTTGAAAATTTTGCCTACCTAATATTTTTCAAAACGAAAAAAAAAAAAAGTTAAAGAAAAGGTAATTTTGAAGAAAATAGATGGAAGTTGAAGCGGCAAAAAAGGTAAGAGGAGACGGCGGGTGAAACGATCATGGCATCGGTGCGTGGAGGGAAAGCAAACGAACGAGTAGAAAGGGAAATGGAGAAGTGGCAGACACAACCCAAAGAGAGTGGACAACCCCCGTGAATTCGAACGCCTCTTTTTCGACGCTCCTCTTCTTCTTTTTTATTTTATTTTCCCAAAAAGGAATTAATTAATTATTCTTTATATTAGTATATTTAAGTTATAATCACTTAGTAATACGGTTTGATGGTATTTTTTTTCAGAGATTTTAGATGAAAATCTCGTAGATGACGAATTCAATACCAAATTAGACTACCCATTATGTGATTTATCCGAACTCATTATCCCTTACTATAAAAATATTGATGTACTAAAAAAAAAAAATTTACTAGTGGGGACACGTGTCGAGGCACCGTCTCGTCTTCGCTTTCACCAGCACAGAAGCAAAGCAACACGAAGGCTGAGGGGACTGAAGAAGAAAAAGGAGAGCGAGAGTGTGTGTAGGGAGAGAAAGTGAGGATTTTGGGGAGTGGGAAGAAAAAAATTTAGGGTTCTTGGAGGGGCTGATTGAACATTTTTCTATCTCATTGGGTTTGTAATTATTTCATATTTTTTAAAAAAAAAATTTTTGTAAGACTTTGGAGATGTACATAGCTTCAATGCGAAAGTCGTTCAAGGACTCTCTGAAAGTTCTTGAAGCTGATATTCAGCATGCAAATACTCTGTAAGCGATCATCTGCTCTCTTAATTTAATGGTTTCTTCTGAAAAAATTGTTTCTTTTGTTAAATAATATTTATTTTGTAAATATTCTGCTTGAATTCTAGTGTTAAAGGTGTGAACTTTAACTCCATTTTTATTTATATTTCATATTGGAAGTGTAAGATTTTTTACCTTTCAGCCTGGTTTGTTTTGATTTATTTTCTTCTGGGTTGTCAATTTATTTTTGGTTATTGTGCAGCTTAAAGATCATAAAAATTAATAAATAAATAGCTAAGAATTATTTTACACTGACAGTATGATTCTGGGAAAGCAATTGTTTAATTGTTTAAGCAGATATTTATTTGTGCATTAACCTTATCTTGATGAAGTTTGAGGGAGCAACCAAACCAAAATTGTCAGGGATTAAATGGGTTTACGTGGCCAATGGGTTCCACCTGCTGGTGTTGTTTTTAATTTCTTGTTCATAATTTTTTTTTTTTTTTAAATTATTTGTTCATTGTTCTTGGAATGTAGCGTTTTAGTCTCATTGTTTTGAATGCAACAGATATGTTACGGTGGGAAAAAACACGCTTAATCATAATTTTTAGTAGAATGCTGCAATGATAAGATCGATTGGAAAGATAGTTTTATCGAGAGAGAGTAGTTGGATTGGTATCTGTTATGAGTTAATGATAATTCTGTGATCTTGGTAGTTTAATCCGATAATTAGTTTTCTGTTTCTGTTCAATCCTTATGTTGGAAATGTGAGGTGCAGGGCCTCAGATTTTCCGAGGGAGTATGATGGTGCTTGTCTTCAGATGAGAATGTCGTACAGTCCAGCCGCTCATCTCTTCCTTTTTCTGGTGCAGTGGACTGGCTGCAACCTTGCAGGAGCCCTCGGGCTGTTAAGAATTCTAATCTACAAGGTTGAAGTTTGTAGCTTGAATAGCTTCTATTTCTTTGAGTTAGATTCCAATCATGGATGTGGGTGACCTTCACATTTTCGCTTACACTACAGGTTTATGTGGATGGCTCGACCACCATGTCTACGAAGGAAAGGAAAGCAAGCATCAGAGAGTTCTATGGTAAATTTCTGATTGCACAACTTTTACTTTTTGGTGCTTGTTGAGCGGTAAAGGGTTTATTTTCCTACTGATGCCTCATCTCGTGGACAGCTGTTATTTATCCCTCTTTATTGCAACTTCAAGGAGGTGTCACCGATAGTGAAGATAAAAGGCAGAAGGCGGTATGCATGGAAAGGTATTGCAAAAGAGATGATGAGGAAAGTAGACAGTGTTCAGATATAGACATTGAAAGAGAAGAGGAATGCGGTATATGCATGGAGACAAATAGTAAAATTGTATTGCCGAACTGCAACCACGTTTTGTGCCTAAAATGTTACCGTGATTGGTACTCTCTCTATCTCTCTCTCTCTCTCTGACCTTATTTAAACATCGAAGTTCGCCTGCTCCTCTATATTTCTGGTACTTTTTTGGGAAGATTCATGTTTTCAGTCTTGCTCAGAAATTATGTTGCTTTCTGTATCAAATAGTTGATAAGACGTTGAGCCCTGCAGTACGTTGGTAACTTTGCCTAAAGTTGAAATGCACTTTGAGCTACGGCATCAGTGAGCATAGTGGTTTTAAGTTATGGTAATTGGAAAATTGAACGTAGAAATGATTGTAGTGTAGACTTGCGGCTTCTAGGTTCAGTAGTAGGTTGCAGAAATATCTCCCCAACAATTTTCCTGTGGGTGTGGGATAAGAACTTTTCTAGACCTCTCACTGTTGCTCCAGACTTTGTTGTTTGTTAAGATTCACTTACACCCATCATGGTTGTTTTATTGGCATTTGAATTGAGAAAGAATGAGAAACCTTGTACCATGGGTTTACCATTAAAAGTTCAGCCAGTTGTCGTCGCCTAAATCCTAAACTCTATGGTACATTTTTCTTTGGTTCTAGCTTGTACTCATAATTTGATTTGTCCGCTGACCAGATAGGTATTTGCTTTGTTGTACACTGTATCGTCATTAGATATTTTGAAATACTATACTTTCCCTTTAAATCATTTATGTGATGAAGGAATTGTGAAGCATAGAAATCACCAGCTTTAGCAAAATATATTTCCATGAACTCTGGTCCTCCCAAAGGGAACTTGCTGGTTCATTTGTGTCTACATGAATATGAGTGAAACTAACGATCTGTTGACACATTTGCAGGCATACAAGATCTAAGTCATGCCCTTTCTGTCGTGACAATCTTAAAAGAGTGAACTCGGGCGATCTTTGGGTATACATGGACAGCAGGGACATAGTCGACATGGAAACAGTGATGAGGGAGAATCTCAGGAGGCTTTTCATGTATATAGATAAGTTGCCCCTTATTACACCGGATAACCCTTTTGACTCGTATGATT